ATCACTACACTACATAAGTCAAAACTTTACCATTATAGTAGCATATACTATACATTTATTTTACTATATATGCATGTGTACACGTGTATGTATGTATGTATGTATGTATGTATGTATGTATGTATGTATGTATGTATGTATGTATGTATAAGATGGGTTCATGTACTTGATTCGCTTAATGTACTTTGAACCAAGGCATTCATGACTCATACTATTCATCCACTTAGCCATATTCTTTACACATTTATATTATAGGTTCAAGCACCACCAAACACGTCCATTCCATTTCATTCATTCTTCTAATAATAAATTAAATTTATTTTCCCCTTTTAATTATCTTCTTTCCATTTTTCGAGCTGTATACATTTTTAATTTATTATTGCACTCGTATTGTGTAGTTAAATAGGCACCATTGAATGTGATTCATGAATCTCATAATCCGGTCCTAATCGGAATACAGCCCTTTATTTATTTCTCTTGGGATATAAATAAATTTAATAAAAAAAGGTACTATATGCTTATACCATTACTAATTCAAATGTTAGGAGATATCACCAAGTTAAATTTCCGTAGATCGAACTAAAATTTGGGATATTCATATCATATAATATAACGTTATAAATGTTTAGGACTAATCCGTGGTCAGTTTAATTAGGTGCAGTGGAGCACATATTACTATTTTTTATATAACTATGGGGTGTAACATTATTATAAATACATTTGAATAACCTTGGGCGGTTGCATTATTAATTATAAAGTTTACTTGGTAAATATATTTTAATATAAGGACTATGATAAGAAAAAAGGTAGCTAAACCAAGTGGACGTCAAAGAGAAAACAATCTTCTATAGTCATGCACACCATAATTAACAATATTATAAATGAAGATATATAATCATTTGTATTAATATATTTCTGTAATATTTTTTTTATGTAGATACAAACATCATTGAATGTATTTTGAGGGTCCTAGTCAAATACAATGAACAAATATAAAGTTCATGGTTTATTATAAGGAGGAAAAGGGGAACATTTCCATAAGATAATTACAAGTTAAACCTAACTTAGCTATTATATATAATTTTGCTGGTACAAACCAATATAATTAAGGAGGTTGTATCAAAAAAATTGCATTGATATAAATCACTAGCCAATTTCAAGGAAGGAAAAATCAAAATTAGCAACAAATATTTTGTAACTATTAGATAATTACAGATGTTACTTGTCACTACCCTCCCTAATTAAAAATACATGTATATTGAAGGCAATTTGTTTATTTGGTGAAAAATGAAGTTTTTTATGTGTATATATATAAAGAAAATATACAAATAAATTTTTCATAAAATATCATGTAAATGCATTGAACCTTATACATATAGGAAGTATGAATGTTCTTATGACTTTTTATTAATAGGATAAATATAGAATAGAATAAGCCAAAAGGACTTTGAACTAACCAATTTTATCTACAAAAGCTGTTATTTTTCCCACTTAAAAAGCTTATTATTTTTATGATTAGTGCTCATATACACATACAACCACCATCACCAATTTCAATCAATTGAATGAAAAATAAACCAATAAAATATTCCGGTTCAAATCTATGATTTTTTTTTTCCAGAAAAAATAAGAACTCAAGACACTAAAGCTTGGCTTCAATTTATCTATACAGAAAAATAAGAATATAAACCATTGGTATATCAGTAAAATGAGTCAAATATATATTAAATTTGATTCATTAAATAGTTTATACAAACTTTCTAAACGGTATTAGAGTACCAAATGATGTAAAAACTTGTCTAAAATCACTTAAAACATAAAAACGGATAAAAGATTAGAATCACGATGAAAATAATTGATCCAATCGTGATATAAAATTTAAATTTTATTGAAAATAAAATCAAATTTTTTAAAAAATTTCAAAATTATCGCATTCTGAATATGATTATACGAGATCACCACATATTTAACAAAAAATACTACGATTTTGCATATATACCGATAGGAGCTTTTCATTATCCTTTCAAACTTAAAGTAAATCATATTAACAATTTGGTTAATATTCAAAATTGGGTAATTATTTTTTTCAGCCATTTTTTTTTATATAAAATTGACCTAAAATAGAGAATACCATAATTATTCAAATTCCCGATAAGATGTCGATGTCGTCTGTATGTGTGTTTCTCGTTTGCTTTGTCTTGTCTTTGCATAACACTTTATATTGTGACATTTATAATTGAGCGTTAGTATATCTTTTTTGTATTTAACTTTAATATTTATGCATATATCAAATTATTTTTATTTTATCTTATATAAGGTTTAAAGTTTACACCAAAATTTGAATGGCTCAACTGATAAGAGATGGGACAAAAGTTCTTCCCAATCCAGATTCGCGTCTTTATTTAGATAGAAGTATTCACATGAGTTTCTCCGATCCTCTGAAAGATTTAATTAGACCAAATATCGTAAACTTTTGAATTATAAAAAAAAAGATGGTTCAGAATTCACTTAATCCACTTTAATAAATGGTTATAGGGGTGGGCATAATATCCGAAAAAACCGAACCGATCCGTTGTTCGACTCGTATCCGAACCGAAAATTCGGATATCCGGAGTCCACGGATCGGATACGGATATTGACTTTCAAATATTTGTCGGATACGGATCGGATACGGATATTAAAATCAAATTATCCGATATATCCGATCTGATCCGTATTTTTTTGTAAATTATAAAATATAGGATAATGTTGTAATAAATTTATATTTCTGGGGTTATTTTGAAAAAACAAAAAACTATACTAGGGTTTTCTCATTTTCCACAAGTTTGTTCTCCGCCTCCTCCCTTCCTCTGCCTCCTCCCTTCCTCTATCTCTCTCCTGATCAAATATTTCATTCACTTTCTCTCATTTGTTCCTCACTTCCTCATGTTTTTTCATCGATCTTCCTCTTGCTTTGGTAGATTCTCTCGCTATTTTATTTTGTTTTTCCATAAGTTGATTTTGCATTAGGTTTAGAAATTATTTGTTTTGTGGTCTTTTTTTCAGAAACAGATTCTTTTCCATGGATTTTTTTTTCTGGTTTTGCTGTAGTTCATACATATCACGTTGAAGCAGACCTACACTCCGAGAAACCTGAGCACAAGTCTTGAGAAGTTTTCTTATCCAGTCTCCTCTAGTTCTTTCCTTTCTTCATATTGTACATACAATTTTAGCATATTGTGTATATAATGAACAAACCAATAAGAGAAAACACAAAAAAATTAATACCCAGGAACAATAGGTTCCTAAACACTTTTCAGCAAAATCTGTCCGTGTTTTCTAGTTGAGTTTGCATTTGAATTCATTTTATGTCTTTAAATATTTTTAAAAAATGTATTTCTTATTTTACCATATTTAAAATCGGATACAAATATCCGCAAATATCCGAAATATGCGGATCGGATACGAATAATAAAATAATATATTCGTACGGATCGGATACGGATACGGATATCTTAAAAAGTCCGGATATCCGATCCGTGCCCACCCCTAAATGGTTATGCCGTTAATATTAATAATTTTATTTAATTCAAGAGGTGATTATCAACAAATTTAAATAATAAAAAATATTAAAATATTTTAATGATTAAAATATTTAATTATTAAAAATAAAAAGAAAAATTCTATAAATAATGAAAAGCTTATGAAAAATAAAAGTGCAAATAGAATATTTCGATCTTCCAACACTAGTAATAGCATATATATGTATATAAATTCATTTTCATTTTCTGCTTGAACTGGAAATATTTTCATTTTCAGATAACTAAATTAATAAAAAATTCCTTCACCGTTTTGGACAAAAACAATTCCGTGTGTTACCCAAATGGTTTTAATATTAGAAAGTGTCCCTTCTTTGACTCTCGTCAAAATACCGTAGACGTTGACCTTCATCATATATATACACGCGCATACGAATATGTACATACAGCCCGGCATATTGGTCGACATAATGACAAAGTATTGGTCCAACACAAAAAAAAAAAGAAAAAAAAACAAATTTTTTATACGTGGGAAAGCCGCAAAAACAAGATGACATTGACAGTTCGATTTGATAGTTTTTCACCGTCTTCTTTGAATCCGATGGATTTATATTTCAGAGGGAAAATTAATTGTGAAAAAAAAAACTGAAAAGTGCAATTTCCGCCCAAATGCAAATAATCTGAATATTGGAGTAAATATTTACAAAAAAAAAGAAGTCTTTTTACGAATATATCGCCGACACGTAATGTAATAAACTGTACATAACATATGATGGGATGGTTGCCAATGTCTTCCCTTTTGATAGCAATTTGAAAAAGGTGGTCGTATGACGATTTTTTCCCTTCGGTTTTCAAATGAAATGAAGCAAATTGGTTATATACTTTAGGAAATTATGTACCTTTGTACGGTCAAATTTAGTACGGGCGAAATGATAAGGTAGGTAAATGTGAACATGACGACATGGGGCATGCAAGTTGGTTATATATATATATATATATAATTTTATGTGCATGCATGAGTTAAATATATCAAAGTAAAAACGAAGTTGGTTACTTTGGACCATGGAGGATGTATACGATTCAAATACACATGTCAAAATGCAACCAAAAAAAAAAAAAAAAGCTGCTACTACTAGCCGTGTTGTGTTGTATCCACAAATTGTATGAACAAGTTGACCCGAACACGAATATATAGTATAATGATGTACATAACTTACCATATTTAAATTGTGCGTTATTACAATTAACAAATTGATTAATATATAATTAATGTACCACAGCCAATAAATAAAAACATCGGGCATAGATGTTTAGTTTGGTTAGCTATTTCTAAATAAATTTATTGTTGGAGAATAATTGCAGTTTTCAAACGTGGGTTCAAAAGATTTTCGGAAGATGGGTTATGGGTAAAAGTAAAATAAATTATGAACTTAAAAATAATTAAAAAAGGATCTTCGTTGACTCTGAGACATCAAAATTATAAAAGATTTGGGCCTAAGAATCTATTATGGTATAAAATCACTACATGCTGAAAGAAAGCCCACTGAAGCCCATTCTTGCTGAAGTCAACAAGGACAGCCCTACACATTTCAAATTTTTATATTTCCCATATTTTACAATACGGAGGAATATACGACCTCCATTTCCAGATCCAGCTTCTTCTTCTTCTTCTACTTCTTCTTCCTCCTCCAGATCAGATCAATGCAACAAGTAGTTAAGTGAAACAAGAGAAGGATGAGGAAAACTCATTTGTTGAAGAATCCAGTAGCTTTCCTCTGTCTAATCATCACAGCTTGTTCCCTCGCCGTTCTGATCATGTCCCTAACCCGATTACCGGAAACACCTCCGGTCACCGGCGGTGAGGTAGTTCTCCGGCGGACCCAGGCAGACATCTCCGAATCCTACGAACTGGGTGTGTTCGGTAGGATGATGATAGAGATGTTACCGGAAGATCTGGTGTTCACGGCCTTCGTTCCTTCGGACAGAGCATTCGCCACAAAGCTAGGGCTCGAGCCAAACAAAAGCCGGCGGGCGGAGAACGAGGACAACCAATACGCCGTCGTTTCGAGGGTATTGGGGTTTTCAGTGGTTCCGTACAAGGTGGAAGAAGGAGACGTAGGGGAAGGTGAAACGGTATCGTACGAGTCACTTTGTGGGTACACGTTGAACGTCTGGAGGAAGAAGGATGAAGGTGGGCTTGTCGTTAATGGCGTGGAGACGAAGAAAATAGGGATTAGGAAAGGGAAAATATTAGTGCATTTAATGAACGGTGTGATTATGGATGCCGAGTTCGCTCAGTCCTTTGGTTCTGTTTCAGATACACAAGATGATGAAGAAGAAGACGAATGACATAATAATGATATTTAAAAACTGTTTTTTTTAATAAATGTGAAGATGTAAAGGTTCAAGCTTGCAATTCATCTGCTTGTTTTCGATTAGAATTTCAAAATTTTGATCCTTTAGGAAAGAAAAGCAATGAGGGATGAGATTTGGGCGAAAATCAATGAAAAGGTTGCTGCTTTCTGATGAAAAATCATAAAACACGAGGGAAAAATTTGTGAATGCCCTAAAGATCAGATCCTGGATTCCGAAAAGGTCCAAAACCCAGAACAAAATTTTACAAAACGCTAACAAAGATTGCATTCAACTTGAAAATATTGGTGGGTCAAAAAGAAAAAAGAGTTTACAGCATTTGGGCAGCGGTGTTGAGCTTCTCGGCTAGGCTGAGTTGTGTCCTGATTATGCTTGATAGATACAACAACAGCAACTGGTCCTGAAAAACAAAACAAGCGTGTGCCCAGATGTTTTTGTTAGTTGTTCCACCCGAAAATGCAAGTGGCCAGGCGTTTTAGTCGATAGACTGGTTTTAGTCATAGGTTAAATTCTTGGATGACAATCAAGCAAAGAACCCTTTGATCGAATTTTGCATCACTACCTGGAGGCTGTCATTCGCAAGCTTATCGAAGGCATGTGGAGGCAATTTCGGAAGGGAGGATACTGCATCAGCAATAGACCGTCCTATGTTGTTATCTGGGGATGTTCGTCCTTCCTGATAACGAATAAAAAGGTTCTTCTGATATGAGAGAGATCAGGCAGGCGTTTATGGAGAAATAACTTTGTTAAATTGATCAACTTTCTCACCACAACGTTGTCAACATAGTTGTAGACGTCATTGATCAGAGCTAGTAGCCTTTCCATTGTAAGCTCCATTCCTTCCAAATCACTTGGGAGTTTGTCTACAGCTGTGGACTTGAGAATATCAACTGGGAAAATGATGTCTCAAGTTAATCAGTCAGATCAGAAGCATTAAACTAAACCCATGAATAAGTACCATGTTTTCTTTTGGACACCGTGGAAGTACCATGTTCAAAATTGTAAAACAATAGCTAAGATCCTGAGTTAAAACAATATAACAGACTTAACAGTAGATGAAATAAGCATCCAAATCTTATAAAAGATCAACCACATCAGAAATGAGAAAACATCAACTATTCGGTGTGCACATAACAAAAATAAGAGCCTTAAACATCTGGAAGCCTTCATAAACAAGAGCAACAAAATATTCAGATACTGCACCAATTACGCAGACACTGAAAGCTCGCACATATTTGGGACAGCAAGTCTATGGCTAAGAGTATATGTCAGAAGGAATAACAAATATGTCTAAGAGCAAGTTTATCCAAATGAAAATTTACCAAGGAAGAGAAAGTTAGAATTCTTACATCCGAATTTCTCGGCCTCAACCATACGGAGATCAAGAGGAATCTCCTGGAATTGTGCAGCAAGTGGCTGGTCACCAATTGAAAGATTTACGGAAACATAAGCCTTAATGGTGCCTTCCCCATTTGTGAACCCTGTGTCCACGGTGAGGTGAATCGGGTTGGGAACCTCTCTAGAATAGAAATCATGGATCAATGCACTACCACCAGTGACCCCGAAACCAGTGGAATACCTGCAAATCAATATAGGTATTTATCAGCTAAAAAATGACACAAGAATCATTAACCACTCATAACATTGCTCAAATGACATTAACAATATAAAATGGAACACAAAAAAGAAATGCTACACTACTAAGACATCCGGCCACACCGAAGGGTTCAACACCGAGCATGCTAACCCTATCGGAGACAAACCCAACATTAAGAAAAACCAACTATAACTGTGACGTGAGATAAAATCGAATGTGACAAGATTTCACTCAAAGAATTAGATAGAAAAACCCCAACACTGCTTTGAGGAGAATAAGAGTGCAAATGAGAAGTACCAGCCAACAATAACTTCCTTGGGGTTCACTTTTACGTGTGAAGCTAACATGTTGTGGTGGTAATCGATATCCAAAGCAACCTGCATCCATAGCATAAGATATACCATGAACCTTAGTCACGTAAACACCACGAAATTGCATCGAGATATGCTTAAGAACATAGTATCCCTAATTCAAATATAGTTTATTGGTCAGTAAAGTAAGGCAAAATTACAAACTCTATCACACGATTTGGTCCCGAACCTTGATGAATGCTTAAATTACATAAACCAAATCCATATTTGTTTCTCGTAAGCTACGAAACAAGTAGATCTATGAATCAAGAAGTTAACCCGGAAAGCCCAATTTCATTAAGCACCTAGAGTGCAACGTATTAATGGAAGCAACCAAACCATAACCAGAATATGCAGACACAAAATTTGATCGGAAATGGACCTGATCTGAAGATTCGTTGTGAGGTACGGCGTATGAATTGCGGATATCGACGGTTCCATCGGGAAGAACAGAACCGAGGAGAGTGCCGATGACGCGCTCGGCTTGGTCAGGACGTCTCACGTAGCAATCGCAAATGTTAAAGATCACAAGCGGGTGAACCCTCGCAGAAAGTACAGACGTCGACGCTGTCCCCGTAGCCGGAACTGTGGAGGGAGGCGTGAACTGCAAGACAGTATGCTCGCTCGCCGCCGCCATTGTCGAACTTCAGAGAATGGAGAGAGCGACGAAGGAGCGAGAATCCGAGGCTTTAGGGTTTCCAATGGGAGCAAGGATAGAGTGAGAGAGAGAGAGAAGCAGGAGGATCTAAAACCGAAGGGACAGGTTCAGCCTCTTAATGGGCTTAAGAATCATCAAACAGGCCCAATGTTAAATTCCTTTAGTGGGCCCAATATCAAACAAAAATCAGAACACAAAAACAAAAATTTATACAAGTAAATTGGTGAAAAAGGGATTGAATTTTCCATTAATTGCTAAATTTTCGAATTTTGATAATCTTTGAAATTTTGGGAGCAAAGTGCTATTTTTGGAACTTGCAGCAGCAACTAATAACTTTAAAATTGCAAATCCATCATCTCTATTACTGGTAATTGCAAAGTATGATGTCTAATATATGTTTCAAATCATCCCTCGAAGTTTGCCCAATTTAAGTCGTTTTTTTATAACCATCTAATTTTTTTCCATAGAATATTCATAAATAAGGACGTCCGTTTTTATAACCGATAGTCCCTATCATATTTTATACATAGTCGATCCACCATAGATCACGTGCACAATTCCAAAGCTTTGTGACATAATAGGAATTTGTCAACATATGTGAACTACAATTATAAGGAAAAAAAAAAGGACAGATCTGAGGATTCGTCTAATTAAATCTTAATTAGCTAAACCACATCACCAGAATGATGTAATAATAATTATCGTAACATTAAATTGAATTTAGAAAATAATTTTAAAATTTGAAGTAAAAAAGGAGGAAAATATCTAAGACAGATCAATGGGGCCCACTATTCACCTATAAAAAAACGCCAAAAAGACAGTTCACCAGTTAAAAATCGACGATCCAAAAAACGCTGAGAACGTAGTGGAAAGCAAAGTAGACGTCCGTGCTTGTTACACGTGTCCATTTCGGATTTTCTCGTACACGTAAGTCACCGCGTCGTATAAGACCCCTTCGTCTCTGATCTCCGAAATTCAAAAACAGTGGAGCGTTGAGGGACAAGGCGAGGAGAAACGTTCCGCGTGAAAGCGAAGACCGAGTTATCGACTCGCTTCTAACCCGGACGAAGCAGACCGAGTCTTCTCTTCTTCTCTATCTCTTTGATTTCGTTCTTCTTCTTCTTCCTGCTTTGGATTGGAGTTTGATGGGAGGAGGAGAGGTGTGTAAGGTGATGGGAGGTTGCTCATTGCCTTCCGGCGCGGCTAACAGAGATTTCGGCTGTTCTTGGCGGCGTTGAAAACTAGGGTTGTTCTATGGTGCTGCATCGCTCTCGCTCTCATCGTTCTCGCCTGCCGATCCTCGCCTGCCGATCCTCGCCGTCTCCCTTCGCCGGTTTCGCCAACCAATCCGCCGCCGCCGCAGACCGCCTCACAGATCAGGGTCCGTTCGATTTCTTCGCTGCATCTTCGTCTTTTGTAGTCTTTTCTACGTATTTATAGGAAGATGTTGGATGGGTTTTTTCGACGACTTTTTTTGGTTAAGGATCGGTATATGGTAAGTTTTTGTGGGTTTATGCTGTTGGTGAAGGATATTCATTTATCAGATTAGATTAGATAAGGCGTCGAGGAAAGCAAATCAATGAAAGATTTGTCTGGCAAGTATTAAATTCACCGGGACTTGTTTGAGTTGAATCTACCTTTTTTGGATTCTTAGTTCTTTACCATCTCCGATTGTTTGGGATCATGGGAAGTATCTGAGGAAAGCAAATTTTATCATTCATATTCATCGGATTGAGCGAATACACAAACTTGATATTCTCAGTCTGCATCGTGTCTTCACTTCTGAGCTGGAAATAATTGGTTTCTGATTAAGGAATTCGAATAACAGGCTGCTTCCAAGTTTGACTGTTTCCGGGTTCCTTATATTTGAGGAATGGATGGATTTAGATCTGTAATCTGTAGTTTATCCTCCCATTGGTATTCATTGAATGAATCACATATAACAGCATGTGCAAGTATTTCAGAAATACGCTTGATTAACTCGGTAGAATACTTGTCATTGCGAATACCCATCTCACTCGGTGATATTGTCTTTTCTAGGGTCTGATCGTCGCATCATTTAGCTTATTCGATTCATTTTGATGACTAAGGGAATGCTTGATAGAATGTTTATGCAGCCAAGGTTGATTTGTGGACGCATTGTGTTGTTTTTTAGATGAATTACTTGGCTGGTGGTTTGGCATTGCTGCTGAGAAGTTTCAATGGAGTTTATATGATTCTGGCTCGGCGATTGACCTTTAAGGGAATATATATCTTTGTTTTCATTATTCTATAGAGTGACGGATCCCATATATAATTTGCAGGAAAGGTTACACACTTCTGATGAACACATGGAAGCTATATGATCTCCTGAAGAAGTCTGTTAATTTAGCACTATGCATCATGTTCCAGGCTCGATTCTATCCACATTGTGTGGAGTTAGCCTAACCCTCCATCTGATTCCCTTAAGGAGTACCTTGGACACGTCGTAAAAAAGAAATCCCGAGATGGGAAGGAGCTTGAGTTGAGATTTGATATTAACAAAGAAGACAGTCTGAACAACAGATTTAAAGAAATTAAGGACTTGAAGACGGATGCTGTCTTCTCGATAGACAATGATGTCATATTCCCTTGCTCCATGGTAGATTTTGCATTCAACATCTGGGAGAGTGCTCCGGATGCCATGGTGGGGTTCGTGCCACGTGTTCACTGGCCAGAAAAATCGGTATGTTAATCTCTTAATTTCTCTGATGAATCTATCGTTTTTCCCAATGAAAAAGCTGAACAATGCATTGTTTCAGTGATTTTGCTGGCAGGGCGCTATTGTTCGATAAACATCTTGTGATTTGCTGTTCGAAATTGGGACTCTACTACATATTACCATTCGAGAAGATTAGGAAATTCCTATATGCAGGTGATAATCCGCTGTTATCGATCTTTCCTCTGCAGAACGACGATGAAGGGAAATACTACAAGTACAGCGGGTGGTGGTATGTGTGGTGGACTGGTACATATAGCATGGTGCTCTCAAAGGCAGCCTTCTTCCACAACAAGTACCTCACTCTTTACACAAATGGAGTGCAGTCATCAATCAGGCAATTCATAACCAAGAACAGGTTAGGTTGTAACCCTCTATGGTTATTTCGATTTCCAGTTTAATTATCAAAAAAGCCCTCTTAATCTAAAGTCCGTTTGAGCACATCAGGAACTGCGAAGATATCGCCATGTCATTCCTGGCTGCAAATGCCACATGCTCCTCCTATATGGGTTAAAGGTTATTTCCAATCTTTCTTTCTTCCTCGATCGGCCCCGATCTATCTCTGGCATTATGTGATTCATGTATATACATACCCTTTGGACCGACGCTTACTGGTCCGGTAAATGAGATCGGATCGACGGGAATAAGGAGATTGGGAGGGCATACAGAGAAGAGAACAATATGCGTGAACAGGTTCGTGGCTGAATACGGGAAGATGCCATTAGTGTACAGTTCCATGAAGGGAGTTGATAGCCGCGGCTTATGGTTTTGGTGATTATTCCCAAGTCTTTGCCTTCGTAAGATTTTTATGTAGATAATTCAGACCCTTGTTATCTCCACAGATCCTCATTTCTTCTTCCGAGGAAAGAGTCCTATTCCGCAAATCAAAAATCTGTAAATATTTTGTAAATGTGTATATACAATATGAATTCTTACAAATCACAAGTATTTTTTTTTTTGGCTGGGTAATAAAATGAATTACATTCTTACACGACGGTGGAGCGTTTGCAAAATTTCTGTAGTTTACATATCTATGCCACCAAACAACCATATAAATAATTTAAATTTAATTTTATCTGTATGTCGGAGAGATAGAGAAAACTCCTAAATAATAATAAAATAAATATAAAGTCTTGACTTTGGTGTTAATTAATCAGTCGTCGCTCCCCAACGGCCCCAGAATTCTCCAAGAAACGTCTTGGCGGCATCCAAGCTGGGGAAGTAAGTGGGCTCCATGAACGCTCGCGTCAGCGAGTCACTCGGATCGTGACTCGCCGTCGCCTCAGCGCTCCCCATCACCGTAGCCACAAGCTGCCGATAGGCGAAGAAGAACCGCTTTTGGTGTTAATTAATCAGTCGTCGCTCCCCAACGGCCCCAGAATTCTCCAAGAAACGTCTTGGCGGCATCCAAGCTGGGGAAGTAAGTGGGCTCCATGACCGCTCGCGTCAGCGAGTCACTCGGATCGTGACTCGCCGTCGCCTCAGCGCTCCCCATCACCGTAGCCACAAGCTGCCGATAGGCGAAGAAGAACCGCTTCGCGGCCGCCTCCGCCGCCTGCATCCCCTGAAGCAGGTGGATCTTCTCCGGTTCCCTCTTCCTCGCGTAAAGCCTCATCGCCGCGTCCTGCAGCCGCGGCCCTCCGGCGGGGTCCACCTCCACGGCGAGGACCGCCGGAACTTTCTGCCGGAGCTCCTTCGACCTCTTCGCCATCTCCACGATCCCTCTCGATCTGAAGCAGAACGCGTCGTTGTGTGAGGACGATTTGATCTGTATTTGATTCTTCAGCTTCAGGAAATCATCCGGGTCCATCAGGAGGTGGAGATCTTCGATCTCCGAGAGAAGCTTCCAGATACGCTCGAGCAAGTACACATCGCTCGACGCCTCTTCAAATTTCCCCTCCCCTATCCTGGATTCGATCCGGTTTAGGAGAACCAAAGAGGTTTGAATCCACGATTCGAGGATCTGATGAACTGTGTATAGTATCTGATTCTCGCGGTTGTCGATGTGATCGGAGAATGGATTGTTCTTGAGGCTGTGAATTTCGTTCGGCCGGCAGACGGCGTCATACCGGAGATACTTTTTCCCGGTGAGATTCCGTTCGCCCAACCCTAGCGCGTACCTGCTCCGCCGCATCTCGGTGTCGATAGTGCTCAGGATCTTCAACCCAACGTCTTCCGTCTTACGCCACGTGGCGAGCTGAGGAAGCAAGCTGAGCTCGCTCCGGCGATCTCCCACCGGAGCTAACCCACCGTTATCTGCCTCCTCCGCCTCGGCGTCGTCCTCGCAGATCGCCGCCACCAACTGGACCTGGCTCGTGGCCAGCATCTCCAGCCTCCGCCTCCACTCTCGACGATTGGTGTACGGCCTCTCGTCGGAGAAGACGGCGAGGATCAGTCGGAAAGTGATCTCGAGCGCCTGAAGAGCCGGCTTCAGGACGGGCTCGGAATTCCACAGAGGGAAACCTCTGGAGGACCAGAGACTCCTGAGCTCCGGGAGGCGGAGATAGAGCTCGTAGGCAGAGCAAGCGGCGGAGCTGGAACAGGACACCGGCGACAATGCAGGGACGTTGATCGGAACCGCCGGAATCGTGACGCGGGGTTTGGGAGAGAGCTTCGGGGACTTGTTGGTGGGTAAGTCTGATGAAACCATCTTCGTCTTCCAATCTGAATCCACCATTTTTTTTTCAAAAATGTTTTTTCTCAGTTTTTTTTTTTTTGGTTTGAATGAGAGAATTGGATAGAAGGTGGTGAGCAGAGAGGTATATATATAGGAGGGGAAATGCGTGTGGAAAAGGAAGTGACCATCTTTCAAAGTCAGCGCCCGCGGCTCTCTTTTTTTTTCTTCTTAATTTCTTTTTTATTTATTTGTATATATTCACTTAATATTCAGAATTCAAAATCCAAGGGAAGATAAATCAGAAAATAGTGTGAAACATATCACAAAATCTCGTAGTCTTTAATTAGTATTTTCCCCAAATGAGTAGTTAATAATGGTATTATAGTGAGAAGCATCTGCAACTTGGAATAATAGTAATAATAATAATAATAAAAATTGGTTAAATTTATGGTATTAATTTCACAAATGATCCAACGTTTTTATTAGGATTTATTATTTATTTTCATTGGGAAGGGAAAATTAGAAAATAATGGGAATTTATTAGAATTTGTTTATGGGGAAAAATATTTGAGCTTATCCAAAAGGTCATAATTAAATATAAAAATGAAGAAGCCTAACCAGAGAAGGTGGGTTTGGTCTGAACCTTTGGTGCCAAAGTCTGTTTCGATACATGCGAGTGGAAACGGTCCAAATTCCAATTTTTGGACTTTCCCCTCTTTTTATAACTATATATATATTTATATATAATTTATCGCCCGCGTCAAAATAAAAATGTTTGTTTTATATCTAACCATCGAAATGGTCTAATTCCCGAGTTAGATACCTATATAATCTTGAATATTAATATAATAGATGTTATACATTGAATATGACTGGAATCACTAATTCGAACTATTTCCGACAAGACTTCACAGCAGATTTTCACACGCAAACAATAATATTTCATAAATCGCTGGTAATATAAATATCTTATTAATTTTATAAGTTCCTTTTTTCACTTTTACTATTTTTTTTTGCACCACTTTCGTTGTTAGATATGATTTTTTTTTTTTGTGGTTATCAAATAACCTCTGTCGCGCAATGCCTCAAGAGGAAAACAACGAAATCTAAAGAGATAATATCCATTAAAATAAAGTAAATAATCATTGTGCTCTAGATTTTCTATAGATATAGGCTACGCTGTCATGCAAATCCATGGGTTAAATTTTATAACACTAACTTTATTCATAATTTTATTTTAGTTTGTTTTTCGTTGTAGCTCAACTATTTAAATTATGAAAACTACTTCACACAAAAGATTCACATTTTTTATTTGCAAATAACAACAATCCTCGTTTTCTAGATGTAAAAATCTATATTTTGGATATTTCAGGACTGGATTTTTTATTTTAAAAATATTAAATTTAGTGTAAATTTTATTCCGATTTCACATTTGTAATTTAGTTTGTAATAGCGATATGCTTATTTGTTTCAAAATACCATTTTTATTCATTTTATTTTTTATATTCTATTAAATTTAAAAAATTATATCTAATCAATATTTTATACCAAATTTAGCTTAGATATATATATATATATATCTTCAATCCAAATTTCCGCTACGGATAAATTCCTAATTTTTGGCACCCGGTGATATAATTAAACGAAAGACTGGTCATAATCAATATTTTTTTAATCGTTTTCTAAATAGCTTGAAAATTGTTCGTATGTTTTGCATTTTCCATAGGATGCCTCCGTGGATGTGAATTCAATCGCTCAGACTTTAAAAAAAAAAAAGATAAAAAAAAAATACAATAAAAAAATAGGACATGGAAAATATTGCGTAGTTATTTGTTATCCTCAATTTCTTTTGATGATAGGAACAAAATTGGAATATTTATTCCATTGAAAAATATTTTTGAAGAGCCCCTTTCTTTGTCATCCATCATCACATAGAACAAGCGACAAATATTACCAAAGCAATTATATTTTTGCATGTTGAACAAATTCCTCTTAGAATTGTTGTCCCTTTTTATATACACATAATTGTAAAAATTCAACAAATGGAAATATAATTGAAAAATGAAATGTTAAGCCCTAACTTTATTCATGCTTATATATATATATAGCTGTAACGATATTCCCACAAAAAAAGCTAGAACGACTTCCAAAGAATAAATCGCACATGCTGCGGACAAATAAAAGAAAACTCGACTGTCCATAACAACAAAGTTATATGAATTTTTCATTTTGGACGTGTAATTAATATATGTAATTTTGGTAATTTGTGGCGAAAATTTGAGTCACGTCGGATTGAGGAGCGTTAGGTTTCGATTAATAGACCGAACCATAAATAATAAAAAAAAACCAAAACTTCTTCACCTACAAACAGTAATAAATAAATAAAAAAGACAAAATAAATGGGGGTCTGTCTGTTTCTAGTCGTGAGGACACATCTTTCTTTCACTTTTAGGATAAGTTTATTATTATTATTATTATTATTATTATTGGCAAAATCATCTATCGAGTCTAAAAAATGGTACATATTTTCATTTACAATGTGTCAAAATACGAAGAGAGTGCCGATAAGAACAAAAAAAAAAACAATCAGAAGGAGGAGAAATTTTTTTTGGGGCATCCCTTTTTTTTTATCCCAAAGTATTTAGCATGAAGAAAAAATAAAATTTAAAAACTTTATATTCCGAAGAAATTAAAAAAAAAAAAGTGGAGGCCAGCTCGGACTGGGTCTGGGGGCTCATCCGTTTGGGAGACCAATCAGGTGGTTCGCACGTGAAGAAGTGCCACGTAAGCCTGGGCATGTGCGTGACCAAGTAGGTGGTCTTAACTCCGACCGACGCCACGTGGACGAACTCATATCGCTTGGCGGTTCCAACAGGGTTGGACACGTGGCATTACAGCTGGACAATTGATTAGCTTTTACGCGTAGTTACGCCGTTGATTCATCCGTGTGATTCCCGTGAGTGGGTCCTCACCACACCACCACCTAATATATACACACACATATACGTATATAATTTGGTAAATGGGTTTCCAGAAGAAATATTATCTTCAGATTAAATAAAATAATGTAGCTTTATTTAGTTTTTAACAAAAAAATACAATACCATATTACGAGAAGAACAACACCGCTAAAGTTGAAAAAGCATGCGATATTCTCAAACAATGAAATTGGATCTTAATGTAGAAAAGTAGGAAATTCGATTACAATTCATTTGTTCATGCATTTCGAATTACTTCTAGAAAAAAAATATATGAAAAATAAAATTCCTGCAATATCTATGAATCTTTGAAAAAATTCTAAATAAATATGTGAAAGTATTCATTATAGATCTACGAATATAAAATCCTAAACCAAAAAAGATACACAAATGTTTAATATTTTAGGATTTTCTATTCAAATCATATCAGTTTCAATAGCTATAGAGATTTACAAATATTAAATCTCAACAATATGCCATGTTTGTAATATTAATATTTTCTTTTTGTTAATTTGATGCGATATTTGGGAGATTTCTGGCAAATATCCAGAGCTTATATATCTTTTATTACTAAAAAAATTTAAATCTATAGATTTATAAGATGTTAACCGTTATCGTATGTTTATTTGGTAATTTTGGAAAGAAATATATGATAAATGATAAATATTTTGGTGCCAAACATATGATAAATGGAGTGTTTATTTAAAGCATATAGCAAATGTTCGTCTCGATAACATGTGAAAAATAATGTAAAATTGCTCCAAAAAGCGCATTTGATCGATCAATTTTATTTACATATTAATAGCTAACGGACACCAGTTCATTGATAACCTAATTACCAAATTATTTCGGTCTACGCCATTTCTAAAACCCCAACTTCAAACCTAAATTCATAAATCTAAAAGCTATTGATGCCTCCGTTTAAATTTAGATGACGTTTAGCTTTAAACACATATATTAAAAAAAAATCTTTTGTACAAAATACCCTTTGTAATTACTTTTACATAATATTGTCATTTTTTACTTTTCCAATAAATTAATAAAGTTTAAATTTAGAAAAAAAACATTAAAAATATATTGGAAATATCAAAACGTTATTTGTTTTTAAACAAAAATTTTACTCTAAAAGGTTATCTGAAGTTAAATGAGAGGAGTATTTTTTTGAAATATAATTTTTTGGAAAAATTCATATATTTAATTTTGTTTTGTGCACTGAGGAAAACGTTCCAGATAAAATTTATGATTAATTTAAAATGATAATATAATTATAAAGGACAAAAAAAATAATATGAAAGGGAGTCAAAATGGTGGAGCTATCCAGACAGGTTTCTCGGAAATGAAGCATGTGTTCCGGCCGCATTATCTGACCATTTATATATTTTTTCCGTTAATATTTTTCAAAATTAAAACGATTTTTTTTTCCTTTTAGTCGAAATATTTAAGGGTTTTTTTTTTTGCCCAAACAGATGGGTTTTCTTTATCTGTTTTTTTTTATAAAAAAAAGCAGTCAATGGGCATGGCTTTTGCTCTTTCCATGTCGTTAATATTCATTATATATGGATGATAAATAAATATGCCAGTTGAGATCAAGGGTTCTACGGGTAATGTATGTATACGTATTTATATATATATAATATAAGAATATTATTTAATAAATTGTTTTGGATAACATTAGCTACGGTTCTACATCACCTGCCTAAATTTCAATAAAATGCAAGGAAGAGCATTTGCATGTGGACGTAAATTCAAAGACCTTCTTGATCTGACCTTTTTTTTTTGTGCCATCGTTTTCATATATCCAACGTTATCTATATATTTTTCTATTGAAGAAAAAAGAAAAATCATAGGAAGAAAGGTATTATATATATATATTGGTTTCAATGATTTCATGCATCTGTTCAAAATGTAGCTCCAAATTTGGTAAATTGGCATTGGTAATTCCACGTTACGTAATAATAAAATCATAAAGGGCGAATGGATATCAAGAAGCAGTGTCCTTTAAAGGACCAAAATAATTTCCAAGCATAAACACAACTCGTTTCAATGAGATATAACGACAAATCTTTCTACAACATGTTTTTCTCGTCCGGACAAAAATTACGCATTTAATAATAAAATTCGGACGAGTTTCTATCCACTTTTTAAAGGAA